ACCCTTTTAACCCCATTGACATATACATATGTGATGTATTCGCTTTCAATGTTGGACTGAATAGTGTAGTTGAGATCGTAAGCTTCTTTGTTTGGTACAGCGAGTATAGATCGCTAACACAGCCACCAATGATCCCATACAAATTTATTGTTAATTGCAGGGTTTATTTATTATATATACATATATCGCTATATATAATATGTACCGAATTTCAAGTAAATGGAACCATAAGTACAGTTTTATCGAATCGGTCAGTCGCTGATGGATTTTCCAGAGAAAAAAATGGTCTTCTTCTTAATCTAAGAAAAATTCTATATTTTTTGTAAAAACCTTCCAAGGAACCATAGAAAAAATATGACAAAACTTCAAGTTAATCAACCGATAATTTTAACGATCAAAAGATTTATGTACACATATCGAACCTCTGTAACATATAATACTAAAAAAAAAGGCATCTAAATGTGTAAAATTTTTCACTCCACACATAAACTATGAATAATATATACGTACTGAAAATCATTAAAATAGGAAAACTATGCAGCTCCCACTCAAAAGAGTTTTCCAGGTAATGAGAATTTGGGTTCAAACCCCGTCAATAAATCAGCTGAGGGCATTAAGTTTCGTATTCTACTCATATTTTCGTATATACAAACAAATATGCCAATCGATATCGGAGAACTATTGTACTTTTTTACACGTGAACCAAATAGAGTTACTTTTTGCAACAACCTTTTTTTGACAGAGCACGCGTGAATCGGGTCAAGGTGTAATTTTATTTTCTCCAGTATTGTCTTGTATTTTATCGTCGAAAGACTCACTGCTGAATAACGTTTATAAATCGTTCAACTTAATTATAAACATTCACGTTCTGTACAGAATGTGTTCCGCATGCTTCTCTCAACTTATGGTCAACATAATGGTCCTACTCAGCGTACTATACGCAAAATCATCACCCATCCTGAAACCCAGCATTCTTTATTGAATAATATTCGGCCGAATAGACCGCGCAGCAAATCCGATCGCAGCGAATCGGACTGACGTTGGAAACGATTTGGCGCATTTTACGTCGAAATCTTAAATTGAAAGCGTACAAAATACAGCCTTTACAGGAACTGAAGCCGCTCAACCTTCCCAAGCGACATCATTTCGTTCTATGAGCTCTTGAAAAGTTTCAAGAAGATCCGATGTTTTCGAGCCAAATTTTGTTTAGCGATGAGGTCCATTTTTGACTCAATGGTTATTTAAACAAGCGAAACAGCCGCATTTGGTAAGAAAAGCAACCTGAAGAGATATAAGAGCTGCAATTTGAATCAGAAAAAATAACGGTTTGGTGTGGTTTGTGTTCTGGCGGAATCATCGTTACATATTTCTTCAAAAATGAAGCTGCTCAGGACGTAACTGTCAACGGAGATCGTTATCACGCCATGATAACCGACTATTTGATGCCTGAAATTAAAGCTCGTCATCTCGCCAACAACTGCTTTTAACAGAAAACACTTTGTTGAGCAGATAATTCCACCTTTTGTGCCGGTCGTTTAGCACCCAATATCGTGTAATATCACACCATTCGACTTTTTCCTGTGGGGATAGGTAAAGTCTTAAGTCTATGCGGGCAATTCTGCTTCAATTCAGTCCTTGGAGCAAAACGTCATGCGTATCATGCGCTACTTACCAGTCAGCATGTTCAAATGAGTCAACGAAAATTGGACTTAATAGAAGGAACATCTTAGACCTAGCAGCAGCCAATATTTTTAAAATGAATATCTTTAAAAAATAAATGCAAGAAAACTTTTTTGCAAATAATAGAAACTTTAATTTTCTCTGTTTTCTTTGTTTAAAAAATAGGGAATCTTGAAATAGAACACCTCATATCGCTCACACAACCAATGGTTTTTGGTCCAAAAATCTGTCAAAGAAACTTTACTTCGTTACTAAATCAATTTAGTTTAATAAATTTGTTTAATTATTCAAGGACGTCGTTTATCTCTTAAAAATACCATTCATGATTGGTTTGATTGACTCACTTTAATACCATATCAGCGCCGGTCATAAATTTATCATATCTGACTTCTCTTCTTAAACAAATGATACACCAAAATGTGTCAAATTCTACGTTTTTTGGCAACTGAAGGCCTTGCAATGAACGAGCCACTGCCTCTTTTCGTTTCAACCAAGTAGAAGCAAGTAAAAACAAATAATAGAAAAACATGAGTAAGTAAATAGTAAACAAACCAAAATAACATAGCATAAATAAGTGGAAAAACACAAGGAATGTAGGAAAATAGATAAAGATAATAGAATTTGTAGTACTGCTAGAAAAAAGCACACTTAAACATGTATGATGCAATAGCCACTCACAGCCCACGCAATAATATGCTATTTATGTTTTCATCAATACATTAAGATTGTCTTAAATAGCTGCAAACCTTTCTATGAATATTTTCATGTATTACCTTTAAAGTACACATTTACTCGACCTTCTTTACACCACAACTTTCGCCTGTTATTTCCTTTTCTACTTCTATTCACCTACATTTATTCTACGCCATGTTTTATGTAAACATTTTGCCTACTTCCTTTACTACTACTCACCAATTGCTACCTCCTTATCCTGCACAACAATTACACACACACAAACGGTGCACACTTACACTTAGAGATCTCTAAATCCTTATAGCTTACATTTTCAAGGCTAAAAGTGCGTAGCGTATTTGGAAATTTTACTTGCCTCTTACTACTCTCACTGACTTCGCTCAATGCGCTAACATTCACAAGCGCATATACACATACATATATATGGATACGTACGAGTATATACTGAGCTCTAAGCGTTCGCTCAGTAACTCATTGACTCACTCAAAGGGCAAACTCAACCAAACTAATACAAATATACAAATTTGTTGTTATAATTGTATATATATATATGTATGTACATAATATGTATGTGTGATTTTGAATGTTATGCGCCCTGTGTTTGCTATTTATGCTCGTATATGTGTGATTGTGTATGTATGTCTATACAGTGAGTGTATGACACTCTTGACCAAATTTCACTGGAGTCAAATATTTTGGACTTTTTGTTAGCTTTTTTGGTAAGTGTTGACATTGTTTGAATATCTTTTGAGGTTTTAGATTTCAGGAAATTTTTGTCAAAGAGCTGTTGAACTTTTTGAACACAAGAGACACCATGGCAAATACTATAGCGGAAAGAGGAGAGTGAGTGGAAGAGATTGCAGAAAAAAATGAAAAATTTTTCGCAATCGTGGAAAATATATTGAGAGATAAACAAATTCTTCAAGAATGATAATTGATTATATAATATTATATGATGAGGAGTTTGAGAAAAAAATAAGCACACCACCTCTAGGAGTAGACACCAAACCGGAGAGTCTGAATATCTCCGCAAAACTTTGAAACTAAGAAAATTCGTACTGAGCAACAATAGCTTCTCCGTCTGAACCGGAAAACCCCACTACGAGACGTTCGATGGTAAATGTGCTTTCAGACAAGGTGAATCTTTATACTGTGATTTCTTTAACTTTGCTTAGTAAACAGATAATGTACAATCTTCTATGTGAGCAGTTAAGCTTAGAATATTTTCGAAGGGAAAAGAAAGATATATGTTCCATTGTAAGGTTTGGAGGTGTGAAGAAGGTGATTGCATTAGGTGTTTCCAAGCGTCGCCGAACGGCTGAGGGAAAAGACAACTAGCGCACTATTTTCGACTCAGCTAGATTCCCTTAAGCAGTGCTAGAAAACAAAAGGCTTTAATCTTTACACTGGAAGTCGCAGAAAGTTCTAGATATGGGAGTATGACTGAAGCTCTGCTGATAGCTTGAGATGTTAAATGCAATTTCACTACGTCAGATTCATCTTCTTAAAACCAAGCTCTTACTACAACACCCCTCTGTTCTTTTCATTCTGGGAACCATCTAACTGCTTCGAAAGCTGTTCGGAGTGCTCAACTCAACACTCATTTCATTAAATGAAAACTGCTATTTTATGGATTATATAAGCATCTCAAAAAAGTAGAAAGTTTTCCGATTTCCAAGAGGGTAAAAAATTGATAACCAATCTTCTGCGCGGTCTAGATCTTTAAACGCCGAAGGGATTGTATCAACTTTATTCACTCCATACCGAGCAATATGAGCCCAATCAACTGAAAAAATTTTTTGGAGATAAAAATTTATTTTCGAAAATAAAAGCTCTCCACAGGTCTAACTTATAGCGCTGATTTCATTACATCACGGATTATGTTGGCTTAAATTATCACTAGCTCCCACGTTTTGTCGAAATCATATTTCTGTATTTTTAGGAGAAGAGTTGCATAAGTTTTTTCAGAATGGAGTTCAGTTCTCAGATACCGTTCTCTGCATTTTCAATTAATGTAGTGTATAGCAGAATTCTTAGTTTTTTCTTTTATGCAAGATCAACAACGCATATTCTTCAACCAGTCTGCCTTTTACCATGCAAATTTGTCAAACCGAGTGCCTTAAAATATGCAACACTTATCCATTCACAAAGCGACCAAACCTTACAAACAAAAAAAAAGTTGTAAGGAAATTTACACTTCCCACACACAACTGTAAATAAGTTAATGGAAGAAGAAAGATCCACAATGCAACCACTAAAACCACACGACCCTACAGCGGCGCTGTAAAAGCGTGCCGCCCCTGCACTGCAGCTAACAAGTGTGACATTAAATATGCAACACAAGGCGCCGCAAAGTCTGCATCGGAGTCCTCCGCGGTCGGGTTACCTGTGTGTGCAGAAAGCCCGTCAGCAGTGCGACTATGTTAATCTTTTTCATTTTTTCCCATTGTTTTTTCTCTTGAAAGTGTAAAAGAAGTTTACAGTTACAGCATAAAATTTTGACGCTAACGGTTTACTTTTTTTCTACTTTTCGCCTAAATATTTTTCTCTTTTTTTTTTGCTTATGCTTTGAGGAGATTTTTTTTGTAAAATTGCTCTTCTTTTTGTATTTCCACTTTGCTACTCACCTTTTTCAGCGACTCTTTGGCTCAATCCGTGGCGTACGCAAACACTCACACATACATACTCAGCCACGCTCTTCTTGCTTAGTTTCACTTTTATTTTTAGTTTTTTATTTTTCTTGCCTCTTTTATTTCACTCTTCTTTCAGCTGAGATTCTGCTTTTTTTATTTTTTATTTTTTGCTTGTTTTTCGTTATGCTTTCGTATGCTATTTGCGCTGTCTATTCGCTTACGTTTTTTATTTCACTTTTTGTTTTTATACACCTTCTAAACTAGTTTGGCGTCGCACGTTCGCGTTTATACGAAAATTGACCTAGTTAGTTGTCTATTTTTACGCAGCGTTTTTAAAATTCATCTCAATCAGCGTGTAGCATAGTTTTGTGCGCATCTAATGGTATTTTCAAACGCGTGCCGTGGACATTTGAAGGCAGCGCACGTTGTTATTGTTGTTATGGTTTATATTTGATTGCTTTCAGATGAATTTCGTGGTCCACTTTTTGAAGATTAAATGTTATTTGCCACCTTTTCTTACATTTTTTGGAGAGCGCCTAATGGTATGCTAAGCTCGACCGCACTTACCGACCTGCACAGGCATTTTTGTGCCCTTGGCTTATTTTGCAAATGTGAATTATTTTAGAAATATGAATTTCGTTGTTAAGTACATATATTTCTGTGCTTTTATTTAATTATTTTTTACACTCAAGCGGAAAGGAAATGACTAAGCTTATGTTTAACTTCGTCTTCATTTGTTTTCTTTCATTTCACAACTTTCGCTTTCACTTGCCCTCACCAACACTACGACTACAGGAACGCCGTATTATGTATACTTGAAGTAGCTGTCATTCATGAGTCTGTGTGCGTCGTGCGCGCTTTTTTCTTCAACTTTCTAGTTTGCCATTTACTCACTTCGTTTGTGCTTGTGCTCCTTGCCGCCGCACTAACTTACACTCTGCATTGCAGCTTAATTTCCACGCGCGTTTTCCACATTTTTTGTAACTTTAATTTCTCTTTTTTTTGTTACACATTAGTTGCCGTGTGGTATGCAGTATCACCTGCGTCCGACAGTGGCTGGTTTTTATCCTTTGGCCTAATTGATTTAATGATTTCTGCTCGTCCTTTGCGATACAACGAAAAAACGACCAAAAAGCGACAAAAAATGCAGACAACCGATAGCTTTAAGTGCGGAACATTTATTATAAATCCTTTAAAGGGTTGTTTTTTATATATGTACTCAATATATATTGCATACTTTTAGGCGCTTAAGCAGGTTCCAATGTAATATTTAACATATTTTATTGTTTCTTTCTGTTTTATTTTTCGTTTACATTATGCGCTACAAAATTCTTAAAAAAAAAATGCATATTTCATATAATTTAATGTCGAAGGAAACGCGCTTTAACCGCCACCGACCGTACGCTTCGGATATTCACACATTTCTGTTTAACGCGCGAGCTGCTCGTGAGAGCAAAGCTAAACGTTTTGAGAGGGCGCCTACTGGTTGTACATGTGAGTGAACACATTACAAAGAGTGAGTGATGAGTGGAGTGATGAAATTTACACTTAAATTTTCAACTGAGTCTCACTCAACATTTCCAACTCAAGCTTGGTATACTGCCATCAATGAAAATATTTCATTTCTGCCATTAGGCGCTGCGGGCGTCTAAATGTCTAAGCAAGGCAATACAAAAAAAATTAATTGTAGAAAGAAGAATGTAAATCATAGTAAACGCCACCGCCGGGCCGGCGTACCTTATATTTACATACAAATAAAATGTTTGTTTTGTGTTTTGTGCCCGCTTTCTGCCCTTTCTGCAGCTTCATTCTACAAGTGCTTTGTTGAACATCCCATCCCAGTGTGGGTGATGCACTGGGTGCAAAATTGATCCCTTCGCCGACGCATAACAGCGCTAAGGTTTGCCGAGAATGAGCTGCAATTCTTTGTTTACACCGCTGAGAAGGCTGGAAATGAAATTGACAGCAGTTGAAATTGTCATTAAAATGGTTGCTTATTGCTTTCCACGAATTAATTTAAAAGAACCCAAAGTAGGTCGCAGAATTTTGGAGATTTAATTAACCTCCACCCAAATTGGACAAAAAGCGGAGAATTTTGATGGCATACTTATTTACAAATAGTAACGTAAGCACATTAAATATTTATTAAATTTAAATATCCGTTTTGGCTGCTCAGGGGAGGGCATGGGCTAAGGAGTCGAGAGCCCAACACACTAAAGGTGCAAGTTCTAATGCAAAAAAACCGTTCAAGCGAGGCAATGCCTTGAAAATATTATAAGAAATATTATAAGAGAAGCAACAATAAAAAATTGGTTTTATCAGTATGTGCCCAATACTTTTGGTAACAGCAGAAAGCATCAAGAAAATCCACAAGGTCGTTTAAGTGATCGAAAAGACTTCAAAAGACCTAGTTTGGTCTTATATTGCCTGAGCATTTGACTTTGAGAAAGCTCAGTTCAAACTGAGTACAGCGTTGCTCATTGGTGACTGGAAACGAAAAGAAAGTGTTATTGGTTCTGAGCAGTGGAATGAAATATGGACCTGTACCGTCACTCCGGAATAAAGGCCAACTCCATCTAAGTGCACAGCACCTATGGAGGCTAGCCTACGGTAGACGACTAGAGTATATTAAATTTATGGAGGGAACACTTCTCAAACCTGCTGAATAGTAGTGAAAATAGAGAACCCGGAGATGGTGAACCCGAAACCTCAATCGATGACGATGGAAAAGACGTTTCAATACCTGACGATGAAGAAGCTTGAATAGCAATCGCCCACTTAAAAAACAACAAAGCGGCGGGAGCTGACGACTTACCGGCAGAACTATTCAAACATGGCGGTGAAGAACTGACAAGACGCATGTATCAGCTACTTTGCAGAATATTGTCGGACGTAAGCATGCACGCCGATTGGAACCTAAGAGTACTCTGCCCAATCCGCCAGAAGGGCCTCCTTAATATCGCCAATAAGGTCCTGTCGAGCGGTTAGTGTGAAAGACTAAGGCCCACCGTAAACAAACCGATTGGACCTTATCAGTATGGCTTCAGACTTGGTAAGTCAACTATTGACCAGATATTCACCATGCCCAAAATTTTGGGAAATATTCGTCTGAGCTGCCTTTACGCCGCTATGTCTGAATTTGGTATCGCCCCAAAACTTATACAGTTGCTTAGGCTGACGCTAGACAACACCAGAAGCGCAGCCAGAATTGGGATGGACCTCTCCAAATCAGGTTTTAGACAGGGTGACTCTTTGTCGTGTGATTTCTTTAATTTGATTCTGGAGAGAATAGTAAGAGCTGCATAGCTGGAAAGAGAAGGTACAATTTTCTATAAGAGTGTACAACTAATGGCGTACGGCGATGATATTGACATTATCGGCCTCAACAACCACTCCGTTAGTTCTGCTTTCTCCAAATAGAATAAGAAAGCGATGCATAAGAGTTTGGTAGTGCACGAGTGCAAGACGAAATATCTCCTATCGCCACACAAACAGTTATCCCATTCGCTACTCCGCTCCCACGTCTATTTCTAACCTCAAAATTAATAAAGTATCTCCAAAGCACCTTCTAGCTCTATTTTTAAAGGAGAACTTTGGTAATAGGTATTTATTAATATTTTAAAAAAATCTTTAAATTACTTACGCATTGCGCAAACACACCCAAGACATACACTCACTGAACACACCAACGCGCCATCACTTCAACCAAAAATTCCTTCATACAAGCAAAAAGCAAACAAACCAGAGAGACATCAAAAAAGCTCAAAAGGCAGTGCGCATGTTCAACTCAAAGAGCAAATCATATTCAACTCAAATAAATTGACTCCAAATAGCAACTTCAACATTAAAAAAAAAAGCTAAACCAAAAAATCAAAGGCAAACTACGAAAAACAGAATCATGTCACCAACGATGGGCGCACAATATTGGAGAGAATAAGGTGAGTTCTCATTTACTCGTGCATATACAAACACATACATGTATATATGAGAACGTTAAATGTCACAGAATGCCACTCAAATGTCGCATGGGAAAATATTGTATAGTAAACTGTCACGTGACACTTTGCAACTGTCATATTTAGGAGAGACCCGTGTCGATGATATTCTTATACATACATATATGCATTTCATATGAGTTGCGCAAATACTTACATACTTATATACGGAGTAGCGAAGGTATGTACTAATGTACTCTCCGCAAAGCTCAGCTCAGTTAAACTACTTGAGTGCTGACATAAATCCGTCAAATCACATGGATTTGCTTTCACTGTCGAGGTTATAATAATTGGCATTACGTTGCGGCTGACACTGACGAGTTCGGCATAGGGAGTAGCAGCTGATTGAATGCCAACTTATATGGAAAATGTAATACAATCAATTTATTGAGATATGAGATTTTAGATCATTAATACTTTAATCATGCATCTATAAATATTAAGTTGCATATTTTTTTCTTTTTACAGCCCCAACGAAGTTATAACCAAGCTAATAACAGCGCACATTACTTCTTTTCGTTATTTGGCGCCAATTGGATTTACCAAGTAAAGCCATGTGGTGCAGGTATTGCTCTTCCAATGCTTCCACCGGCGATTACTGACTGCATCGCAAACTCTAAAACTGGGGTAACCATCCGGTCCACACGACCTGGCCAGTGTTACCGATGTCTGTTGTCTCATACAGCTCATCGCCCTATCCTCTGCGGTATTCGCCGGTCCCAACTCGTAATGGTCCAAAAATCTTGTATAAAACACTTCTCTCGAAAACTCTCGACACCGACACAACAGATGCTATCATCGTCCTTGCGAAACCTAGAATTTGGACTTTGTATGTTGAAAAAGGATTTTACTTAGAAAAATAATTTACTTCTTCAAGGTTATGACTGTCCAGAGTAAAGTGGGCACGGCAATTGTGATCGCTTGGGGAATCGGCATCCCCACTTTCTGTTGTTTCACTTTCTCCGTGAAGCGGAGAAGAGTTCCCTCAATAAATTCAGCGTACTGTGGGCATCAGTCACTAAATCGCTATAAGGGAGAGATCTAAGTCGATATTGGATACTCGAAAAGTTTCTAAATATTGCCAATTTGGTTGCATGATTTTCAATACCACAGCAAACCATACTTCGACCGCCTGCGAAATCGATCAGCCGGAGCCTCTTTGGCGAGGCTGACTTTCCCTACCTTCTTTGATCGCGTTCAAGTTATCTAGCACAATTTTTACATAGACGAGTTCTAGGTGCTCATTTAAAGTGTCTTGGTCCCATCGTTCATCCGTTCCGTCGGGCGTGGGCGCAAATCTACGATATGTTGACAAATTTTGCTTTGATGTGTATTGTAACTAGACTTTCATGCACTGGAATGAATGCCAGTACTCGGCGACTGAGTCTCTCCCCAACCACAAGTCCAAAAATAAATTTGGGTCATTTCTTACGACCGCTGTAGTAGATTTCACAAGGCGGAAGCTGGGTTTTTCCGTCCTTGTCCAAGTCATCGGACTTCTTTCCCGGCGGTAATATCAGCTGCACAGCGGCACTTCTCAATTAAAGATCCAGGCATTCCAAATGCATGTCCTCAAGTCACGATCCTTAAAATATTTACGGTGTCATTATTATCGTCACCTACTCACTTTAGCCCGCCTCCAAATGGATGTTTTTGCCTACCATCGTTTTTGGCCACTCTCAGGTGGATAGCAGTCAAACACTTTCCTCACTTGCGAGATATTCTACACTTAGCGCCAGCCTCTATCAATTTCCCACAACGCCTACGCTTACCAACTTTAACAGCACATACAAGTGCACAGTTCGCCCACTTCCGGTATCCTCCAGCTTACCTTACCAACTTCTTCACTAGCTTTTTACAATAACATAGCTTCACGGCGAGCAATTTCCAGCACTAGTAGGCCCACTGGTAGAAAGCGAGCCCACGTTTGTATTTAAAATTGTCATTATATAAGCACTTAGTTACCGGGCAAAAAGCATCGCTTTAATGAAACCGAAGGTAAGAGATTCTCAACTGCCCAGAATACAAATTCCTTCATACACTTGTGTATACAACACAAACATTTTTAATTTAGCATAAAGTTCACGGCCGCACAAATTCAAGTGGAAAATTTGTTTGGTTTTGCTTCGGTTAGCAGAACACAGAAAAATACCGAGAAAAATATAGAGAATGGCAAAGGTTGCGCTTTTCCGTCCTCTCTTTGTACACAACGAACTGCTACTTGCTACCTGCTACCTGCTACGTTTAATCGTTGCTGAAGTGGCGTAAAAAATAACCGTTATCCTTATAAGTATAATATTTTGTTGTTATAAGTTTGTATTAGCGCATGCTGGAGGCCATAAAATATGTCGCTACAATTCCATTGGGTTTTTTATAGAACAGAGTTTTGTATTTATTTGCCAGGTTTGTATATG